GCATTCAAATATGTGTGAGCACAATAAAAATGTGCTCTGTTTTAGTGTTGCATAAAAAATATTTTAAGACTCCCTTAATTTTCTGAGGGATAGGAGTTCAAGATAGCTAAATAAGTAGAAGCTGCACTCACCTTCTTCCATGACCACATCAAAATTACAGCTAAATTATAGAACAGTCAACCCAGAGAACCATCTAAATAGTAGCTGAGACCCTGGCCAGACATCTCAGTTGGTTAGAGCACTTTCCAATATGCCAAGGTTGTAGGTTTGATCAAGTTAGGGCACATACAAGAATCAGCCAATGAATACATAAATAAATGGAACAACAAATTGTTGTTTCTCTCACTCTCTCTCCTTCCACCCCCTTCCTCTTGCTCTAAAAATCAATTTAAAACAGAGTAGCTGAGCAGAAGTCCTAAAACTAAGGATATAAAAAAAAAGCCACAGAAAGACTAGCAGTAGGGTCAGAGACATAAAAGGGGCTGGCCATGTACCCACATGCAGCAATTGAGAATCTAGAGAGATATTTCACCTGCAGAGGTCTCCCCTGAGCCCCACATGAGGCTCTCGAGCACAGGGCACAAGAACCAGGAAGAGGAGCCTACAAAACATCTGGTGGTAAAATTCAGTGGGGATTCCATCCCCACCTGGGTAAGACTAAAGGTTGCTGGAAATTCAGGCACCCTCTTAAAGGGACAATGTAGACACTCACAGGCACTCACCCTGGACACCAGCAGAGGGATGGCAGCTCTGCGGTTACCAAAATCACACAGGGACAGACTGTGTTCTGTGGCTTTGGGGCGAGGACTAGAGGGACAGAATCTAATGCCCCTCTGTTGAGTCTTTCTGTTGCACAGCACACAGGTGCTATCTTTCCTGGGTTAAAACTATCTCACAGGGTATTAGCCTGGTGAGCTCCACTAGATCCACCCTGATGAATCTCTGTGGCCCTGCACTCCTCAACTTCTGCAAGGCTGAAGGCTCTGTCAGTGGCAGCCAGTCTGGGCCCACATCCATCTTTCTTTAAAAACTCTAAAGGAATTCTGGTCAACCAGGGGGTTGGGGGGTGCCAGAGACATACAGGGAGAAACTGAATTATGTGACTTCAGGATAAGGGCTGTCTTTCTGCATAGCCAACAGTTGACACCTTCCCTATTTTAAGATGTCCTTCCACACCAGCCAAATCTTAATTTATTATAGCCTGGTAATTCCCTGAGACCCCACTGCAAAAATACTTAGGACCGAGGCGGGTAGTGGCTGACTCTGGTGTACCCTGAGACTTTTTCTGAGTAGCCCCAGACCCAACACTGGTGGCAAGTTTGAATCTGTATTAACCTGGTGGACACTACTAACACATGCCTTGTGACTCCCTGAGAACCTGCCTCACACAACTCACATACCACAAAAGGGTCTTTCAATGGCTGAACCTAATGGGCAATGGGCAGGCAGTGGTGGGTCTCGAGATACTTGGGCCTTTATTTTAAATTAACCCAGACTTGGTTCATAGCACAGCTCCTCCAATGCACACCCAGGCCCAATACAGGAAGCTACCAATGTGAATCCCTTTGCAGTTCCTGACTGGTAGCCCAGGGCTGGTCACAGGCCACATCTAACATTGACCTGCATTGGAGTCCTTTATAAGAAGCTTCAGTACCAACATACATGGGAGCTGGATTCAGACCACAACAGAACACCACCCAATAGCTCCCCAACACCATGCCAAAAGGAGGGTTGTTGCAGCAGACACCATACTCTTCTGGGGCAAATTCCACTTAATGATGTCAGCTACTACACAGCAGGTCATACACTGTGATCATGTCCAATCCTCACATCCAGCCAGAGACATGCCAACAGCAATCAAGGCTCAATGACAACAGAAGATCACACACAACCTACACAGAGAACACACCTAGAGCACTCAAATCAGGTGGTCCCAAAGGACACATTCTACATAAGGCCACCCTACCAAGACTGGGAGACATAGCAGATTTACCTAATACACAGAAACAAACACAGAGAAGCAGGCAAAATGGAGAGACAAAGAAACATGCCCCTAATGAAAGGACAGGAGAAATCTCTAGAATAAGAGGTGAATGAAATGGAGGCAAGCAATCTACCAGGTACACAGTTCAATACAACAATTATAAGGCTGCTCAAGGAACTAAGAACTTCACAAAAGAGGTAACAAGCATAAAAAGGGACATAAAAAAGAACCAGCCAGAAATGAAGAATACAACAACTGAAATGAAGAATACACTAGTCAACAGCACATTAGATGAGTCAGAAGACTGAATGAGCAATTTGGAAGACAAGGCAGCAAAAAATCAGCAGCAAAGAGAAAAAAGAATTTAAAAAATGAGGATAGTTTAAGAGACCTTTGGGACAACATGAAGCATAACATCTGCTTAGTGGGGTAACAGTAGAAAAATAGAGAGCAAGGAATTGAAAACCTGTTTGAAGAAATAATCACTAAAATATTCCCTTACCTGGTGAAGGGAAAAGAAACACAAGTCCAAAAAGCACAGAGAGTCCCAAACAAGATGAACCTATAGAAGCCCACAGCAAGACACATCATAATTAAAATGGCAAAGGTTAAAGATAAAGAGAGAATCTTAAAAGACAGTTAGTTACCTACAAAAGAGCTCCCATAAGACTGTCAGCTGATTTCCCAAGAGAAACATTTCAGGCCAGATTGGCATGAAATATTCAAGTGATGAAAAGCAAGGACTTACGACTAACACTATTCTACTCAGCAAGACTATCACTTAAAATTGAAGGCGAGATATAGCTTCCCACACAAGAAAAAGCTAAAGGAGTTCATCACCACCAAATAAATATTATACAAAATGTTAAAGGACTTCTGTAAGAAGAAGAAAAAGAAACATAAATATAAATAATAACATGGCAATATTTATGTACCTATCAGTAATAACGTTAAGTGTAAATGAACTCAATGCTTGAATCAAAACAAATAGTGTAACTGAATGAATTTTTTTTAAAAGCAAGACCTGTACATTTACTGTCTACAAGAGACCCATTTCAGATAAAAAGACACACATAGACTGAAAGTAAAGGAATGGAAAAAGATATTTTATGGAAATGTAAACAAAATTTTAAAAACTGGGTTAGAAATATTTATTTCAGACAAAATATACTTTAAAACAAAGGCCATAATAAGAGATAAAGAAGAACATTACATAATGGTTAAGGCATCAATCCAAGAAGAACATATAACCCTTCTGTCCTGGCTGGTATAGCTCAGTTGCCTGGAGCATCATCTCATGCACCAAAAGGATGCTGGTTTGATTCCCTGTCAGGGCACATACCTAGGTTGCAGTTTTGATCCCTGTTTGGGGTGTGTACAGGAGGCAACCAATTGCTGTTTCTCTCGAACATTGGTGTATCTCTCTCTCACATTTTCTCACTCTCCCCTCTCCTTCCTATCTCTAAAATCAATTTCTAAAAATCTTTTTAAAAATGTGTATATAACCTTTACAAACATTTCTGCACCAATATAGGAGCACCTAAATTTATAAAGCAAGTATTGATGACTATAAAGGGAGAGATCGACAGTACTATAGTCAAGGTAGGGGACTTTAATACTCCACAGACATCACTGGATAGATCTTCCAGACAGAAAATCAACAAGGAAACAGAGACTTTACTTATTTATTTTTTTTAATCCTCATCCGAGGACATTTTTCCATTTTTTGTATAGAGTGGGAGGGAGAGAGAGAGAGAGAGAGAGAGGGAAACATCGATGTGAAAGGGACACATCGAGTGGCTGCCACCCGCACGACCAACCAGGGCCGGGGACAAACTGCAACCGAGGTACATGCCCCCAGCGGGAACCGAACCCGGGCCTCTCCGGACCGCAGGCGGACGCTCTAACCGCTGAGCCAAACCGGCCAGGGAGGAAACAGAGACTTTAAATGACACAGAAGACAAAATAGATTTAATTGATATTTTTAGAACATTTCATCCCAAACCAGTAGAATATACATTCTTTTCAAGTGCACATGGAACATTTTGCAGGACAGACCACATGTTTGGCCATAAAACAAGTCTCAATAAAGTTAAGAAGATTCAATCATATCAAGCATTGGTTTGAAACTAGAAAGCAATTACAAGAAAACTGAAAAATACACAAACACATGAAGGCTAAATAACATGTTCCTAAACAATGAATGGGTTAACAATTAAGTCAGAGTAAACAATAAAAAGGACCTTGAGAGAAATAAAAATGAAAACACAAAAACCCCGAATCTATGGGATGCAGTGAAAGCAACCCTAAAAGAAAAATTCATAGTAATACAGGCCTACCTCAAGAAACAAACAAAAAATATATATCTCAAATAAACAATCAATCTGTACACTCAAAAAACTAGAAAAATAATAGTAAACAAAGCCCTAAGTGAGTAGAAGGAAGAAAATAATGAAGATCTGAGAAGATCAAACAAAATAGAGATTTCCAAAAATCGGTGCAAAAGATCAATGAAATAAGAGCAGGTTCTTTGAAGAGATTAATATGATTAACTTCAACCAGACTCATCTAGAAAAAAAGACAGGATCCAAATAAATAAAATTAGAAATAAAAGAGAAGTGACAACTGACCACAGAAATACAAAAAAAATATATTCATTAAAAATATATATATTACAAACATATATGCCAACAAATTGGACAATCTGGAAGAAATAAATAAATCTTTAGAAAAGTACACTCTCCCAAAATTGAATCAAAAAGAAACAGAAAATCTGAACAGAATGATTACAACCAACAAAATCAAATCAGTAATAAAAAAATTCCCAACAAAAAAAGACCTGGACCAAATGGCTTCACATGAGAATGTTATCAAACATTCTAAGAAGTAACGCCTATTCTCAAACTATTCCAAAAAATTAAAGAGGAAGGAAGACTCCTGAGTTCATTTTATGATGCCAGCATTATCCTGATTCCAAAACCTGAGAAAGACATTACAAAAAGGAAAATTACAGGTCTTTGCTTCCCAGCCTTTTGGCTAAAATCAAGTATAGGTATTTGTTCTTATCACTTTAACATCTGATACATTCTCTATCTGAGGACACCATATTAAATACATTTTTGGAGCAGGGAGATGGAATAGAAGCTTGCTCCATCCACACCGTACATCAGCCCAGTATTGCAGTACCTCTGAGGACCAGTCATCTCTCCGGGGACAAAAAAGCAAGTTAATGGCCAATGTCCCTGATGAACACAAATGCAAGAATTGTCAACGAAATGTCAGCAAACTGATTTCAGCAATACATTAAAAGATTATAGCCTGGTTGATGTGGTTCAGTGGATTGAGCATCGTCCCATGGAATGAGAGGTCCCAGTTTGATTCCAGGTCAGGGCACATGCCCAAATTGTGGGATTGATCACCAATAGGGGGCATGCAGGAGGCAACCAATTGATGTTTTTCTCCCACAGTGATGTTTCTATCTCTCTCTCCCTTTTTCTCTCTCCAAAAAATAAAAAAAAAATCAATAAAACATATTTTTAAAAAATTATACAACATGGTGACTCAGTGGTTGAGCATCAACCCATGCACCAAGAGGTTGCCAGTTCAATTCCCAGTCAGGGCACATGCCCAGGTTGTGGGACAAATCCCCAGTGAGGGGGCGTGCAGGAGGTGGCCAATCGATGTTCTCTCTCACTGATGTTTTTATCTCTCTCCCTCTCCCTTCCTCTCTCTCTAAAAATAAATAAATAAAAAAATTATACAACATGTTCAAGTGGAATTTATTTCTGTGATACAAGGTTAATTCAATACCCGCAAATCAATTAATGTGATACACCACATAAATAAAATGAAGGATAAAAATCATATAATCATATCAATAGTTTCAGAAAAAGCATATGACAAAATTCAGCACCCATTTATGATAAAAATAAAAAATATCTCTCAGCCAAGTGGAAGTAGAAGAAATATACCTCAATATAATAAAGGCTATATATGGCAAACTCACAGCTAACATCATACTCAAAGGAGAAAAGCTAAAAGTGTTTTCCTTGACATATGAACAAGACAGGGATACCCACTTTCACCACTCTTACTCAACATACTATGGAGTCATAGCCACAGCAATCAGACAAGAAAAAGAAATCAAAGGCCTCCAAATTGGAAAGGAAGAAATAAAACTGTCATTATTTGCAGATGGCATGATACTGTATATAGAAAACCCTAAAGATTTCACCAAAACACTACCAGAACTAATAAATGAATTTAGTAAAGTAGCAGGATACAAAATTAATACTCAGAAATCAATTGCATTTTTTTAAAATAAAATCTCTATTTGATTTTAGCTCAATTTAGAAAATCCTAAATTTAGTGCACTCTACTTTTCTATTTTATTTTTTTATTAATTAATTAATTAATTTTTGTTACAGATGTTTCTCCTTTTTCCTCCACTGATTCCCCCCTCCCCTCCCTCCCTGCCCTGTCCCCAGCTTTGTTGTCCATGTCCACTGTTCATGCATACATGCATATAAGTTCTGTGGTTTATCTCTGCCCCACCACCCCCTCTTCTGGGGATTGTCAGTCTGTATCCCACTTCCACGACTCTGGGACTACCCATTCCTCAGACTGTTATGTTCATTATTCAATTGCATTTTTATACACCAATAGCAAACTATCAGAAAGAGAAATTTAGGAAACAATCCCTTTCACAATAATATTAAAGAAATACCTTGTAATAAATTTAACCAAGGAGATAAGACCTGTACTCAAAAAAATTATAAGAGCCGGAGGAAAAATGGCGGCAGAGTGAACGGAAGCTACACAGACCCTCTCCCAGAACCAAACTGGAATTACAGTGATACCTTGGTTCTCGAACGCCTTGACTTTCGACCAAATCGGTATTCGACCAGGAGATTCGAGAAACTTTTGTCTTGGAATCCGAACAAATATTTGGAACTCGAACTTCCGAGATGAGCCGAGTTGAGCCGAATGGCGTTCATTCGGCCCAGCGCGCCTTGCTTGCGTCATCAGTGTGAGTGCAGAGAGAGAGTCACGCTTTGTGGAGAGAGTCACGCTTTACACTGAATTTAACCCTTAGACATACTGTACACTTTTATTTCTTGTTGAGACTTATGTTTTTCTACATATTATATACAAATTAGGCCAGTAAATAGGCATTTTCTGGGGCTTGGAACGAATTAATCCAGTTTCCATTATTTCCTATTGGGGTTTCATTGCTTCGGTTCTCGAACAATTTGGTTCTCGACCGTCCTCCTGGAACGAATTATGTTCGAGAACCGAGGTATCACTGGTACAACTATAACACAGACAAATTGAAGGGAAAAAGCAAAAGAAAAGCAGCTTGCGAGGACAATACAACGAGGGACACTGACTCCATCCCAGAAGGCTTGCGAAGGCGCGAAACGGGGCTGGGAGCCCACAGTCGGCAGCTCGGAAGCGGCCTTAGCTGGGAGCAGCGCCCGCGGGTTAAACTCCCAGGCGGCCCCACAGCGCAGAGCCGGGACAGAGGCTAAAACAGCCACAGCCACTCACTATTGGGCTCCAGCATAGGGAGGGCAGACTGGACTGGAACTGTGTGGGGACACTTGGGATTTGGAGGGCACTCAGAGCTTTTCCTGAGTGCAGCCACGCAGGACGGTGACCACACTGCTCCTTCCCAGGGCTCTAGGGAGAGGCAGCAGCCCCTCAATCGGAAATCCAACTCCACCCTGTGGGCCATTGAGGTGCTAATTGAAGCTCATTAACAACCAGCATCTGCCCCACCTCGGGAAATCCCCTTGTGCTGAGCACCTGAGGGAGCTTATCAATCAACTGACAACCCAAAACTCATCAAGTAACCTTGACTGCAAGCCTCCAGGCAAAAAGCTAGAGGATAACAGTACATTTCCTGGGCTGGCAACTTTAACCAGGAAAGTAAGACTTGACAGTGGTGTTTAACGTGGGTCCTCCCTCGCTCATCTAAACGCAGGAGAGGGAGCCACAAACAGCAGAACACCAATACCCACAGGGAAAACTTGACAGGCTCCAAAGCCCACAGTGATAGCCAAAATGTTGAAACACAGAAACAGAAGCCAAATGAAAGAGCAAGAGACCTCCACTGAAGATGAGATCAGTGTGGAGCAATTAGGCATGATAACAGAGCTAGAATTCAGAGCCATGATCTTGAGGAAGCTGAACAGCATGAGTAAGGACATAGAGACACTGAAAATAAGCCAATCGGAAATTAAAAACCATCAAGAAGAGATAAAATATGACATATCAGAAATGAAAAACACATTGGAAGGTTTAAAAAGCAGAGTAGAGGAAGCTGAGGACCGGATCAGTGAATTAGAAGACAGGGTAGAAAAAATCAACCAATCAGAAAAACAAAAGGAAAAAACTATTAAAAAACAGGAAGACAGCTTAAGAGAACTATGGGACAACTGGAAACATAATATTCGCATCATAGGAGTCCCCGAAGAAGAAGAAAATGAGCAAGGGATAGAGAATATATTAAAAAAAATAGTGACAGAAAACGTCCCTAATTTGGTGAAAGAAGAAGGCATTCAAGTTCAAGAAGCACAGAGAATCCCAAGTAGGAAGAACCCAAACAGGCCCACACCAAGACACATAGTAATTAAAATGCCACAAATTAAAGACAAAGAGAGAATCCTAAAAGCAGCAAGAGATAAGCAACAGGTTACCTACAAAGGAAACCCCATAAGGCTCTCAGCTGATTTCTCACAAAAAACACTACAGGCCAGAAGGGAATGGCATGAAGTAATCAAAGTCATGAAAAACAAGAATCTGAATCCAAGACTACTCTACCCAGCAAGGCTATCATTCAAAATAGAAGATCAAATAAAGAGCTTCCCAGACAAAAAAAGGCTAAGGGAATACATGAGCACCAAACCAGCACTGCAAGAAATGTTAAAAGGACTGCTGTAATTAGCAGTAGAAATGGGAAGAAAAATAGAACCACACTAAACAAAAATGGCAATAAATAAGTACATATCAATAATCCCCTTAAACATAAATGGATTGAATGCTCCCATAACAAGACACAGAGGAGCCCTGGCCGGTTTGGCTCAGCCGTTAGAGCGTTGGCCAGCGGTCCTGAGAGACCCGGGTTCGGTTCCCGCTAAGGGCGCGTACCTCGGTTGCAGTTTGTCCCCGGCCCTGGTCAGTTGTACGGGTGGCAGCCACTCGATGTGTTCCTTTCACATCGATGTTTCTCTCTCTCTCTCTGTTCCTCTCTCCCCCTCCCACTCTACCTGAACAAAAAATGGAAAAAATGTCCTCGGGTGAGGATAAAAAATAAAAAATAAAATAAAAAAAAGACACAGAGTAGCTGATTGGATAAGAAAGCATGACTCATCTATATGTTGTTTCCCAGAGACCCACCTCACAACAAGACTCACATAGGTTAAAAGTGAAGGGATGGAAAAAATTTTCCAAGCAAATAGAAAGCAAAAAAAAGCTGGGGTAGCAATTCTCATATCTGATAAAATAGATTTCAAAATGAAGACCATACTAGAGACAAAGAAGGCCACTACATAATATTGAAAGGATCTATCCAACAGGAAGATATAACCTTGATAAACATATATGCACACAATTTAGGAGCACCAAAATATATTAAAAATCTTCTGGAGGACTTCCAAGGAGAAATCGGCAATAATACTATCATAGCAGGAGACTTCAACACCCCATTGACAGCACTGGATAGATCCTCTAGGCAAAAAATTAGCAAGGAAACAGAGACTCTAAATGAAGCACTAGACCAAATGGATTTAATAGATATCTACAGAGAATTACACCCCAAAACTACAAAATTCACATTCTTCTCAAGTGCACATGGGACATTCTGATAGACCACATGATAGGACACAAACTAAATCTCTACAAGTTCAAGAAGATTGAAATCATATCAAGCATCTTCTCAGATCACAATGGCATGAAACTAGAAATCAATTGCAACAAGAACATGCAAAGACATTTCAACACATGGAGGCTAAATAGCATGTTATTAAACAATGAATGGGTCACCGAAGAGATCAAGAAAGAAATTAAAAAATTCCTGGAAACCAATTAAAATGAACACACAACAACACAAAATCTATGGGATGCAGCGAAAGTAGTTCTGACAGGGAAGTTCATAGCACTACAGGCCTACCTCAAAAAACAAGAAACATTTCTAATTGACTGTCTA